TGTCAAGGGCCTGAGTGATTATAGCTTTTCTGTTCAATTAGTGAGAAGGGGACATTTCACTGGGGGTTCATGGGCATGTAGATAATCTCTGGTTCCTGAAAGGTGTGTGTGGTAGACATGAGTCCAAAGCCTGCTTAAAAAAATAAATGGATTTATGCTATTTTAATTCCAAGTAACTCTTTTTAACTTGTCTTTCTAACACAATGCATTGTGTTAAGTCTTAAAACACACACAGTTGTTTGATCTTTTCATTTCTCCCAAAGGCATCCCTTCTTCACCTTCATGGTGGCAACCTACAGGGTCTGCTCCCACTGACACCATGCCAAGCCAAGCCAGTTTGGGGGGAAATAGGCTAAATTTCTAGAAAGGGAGTAATGCTCAAAGGGAAAAAGAAATCTCATCTCCTGGGCCGGAGTCCAAGTTTCCATGTTAGAGGGACTTAGCCTGTTTAGAAGTGTGTCTAATGCATAGATAATGAATGTCTTCTCTGAAATGTCACATGCCCCTCTTGTGATGGGGACTTCATCTGGGCATAGAGATTTCTTCCCTGTTTTGAACAGTATAGCAGAGAGCATGGGAAGTGGGTCTTATTCTATCTCCACTGTCAAATTATTTTATAATTTGTTCTTGCCCATTATGCAGCCTAAAACAACTCTCAAAACAATGGTGGAAAAGCCACCAAGATCTTTCGTAAAGGACACATTAGTTGTAAACCTAGCATCCTTGATCTCAATTCATTTTATTTTTCCCTCATTGGAAAATTTCCTCCAGTCCTGAGGGCTAAGGAAAACAGAGCCTCAGCACAAACAAAGCCAGACTCTAAATCCAGACCACATTTCCTTTCCTATAGTTGATGATGATAAGAAATGACATGCTAAGAAATGACGTGCTCTCTCCCAGGCAGTAGAAACGTAACACAGTCAGGGCACCGCCTCACTCTTTGGTTCAGAGACGAGATTAGGGAAACAGAATCTTCACGTGGGATTGCTATAAACTGGGTTATGAAACTAGGTCATCTTATCTTTAGAAACTTTGAATGAAAGGCCAGGGGAGGCAGGTGTGTGTGTGCCTGTGCAAGTACGTGTGTTCTCATTTTTGTCTTGTTTCAAATGACAAATCCTAGCAGACCTGCGCCTTCTTTACAAGCTTCAGGTCTCAGCATCTTTACCTTCGGGTTTGGGTGTCATCACCCAAAGTGACTCCCACCCAGTGGTTTTCCCTACTCCCATTCCCATTTCAAAAAATGTCAGGTTAATCAAGAGATCAGATTGCTCAGAGCATGGGACTACCCGGCTATAAACCACAGAAGGTCCCGGACCTGGTCAGCCCTGTTAATAGTGGGGAAAGAGTGACTTCATGCACTCTCACCAGTCCTTTATTTACCCAAATTGTGAAAATTGTAAGGTAATTACACTGGTTGTTGGGGGAAATCATAGAATCCTACAACTTCATAGGTCAGTAAGAGTATTCAGGCCTGATCTTCTATCCTTTGGCAAGTAATTAGCTAACCTGACACTGTCCAGTAGACATATATATCAGGTGTAGAGTAATTCTAAATTTTCTAGTAGCCACATTGAAAAAAGCGAAAAGAAATAGCTAAAGTGAATTTTAACACCATGTTTTGTTTTACCAAATATGTCAATAATATTACAAATTCAGCATGTGATCAATATAAAAATGATCAGTGAGACAGTTCACATTCCGTTTTCACACAGAGTCTTCAGAATTTGCTCTGAATTTTACACTGACGGCACATCTCAATCAGGGCTGACCACATTTCCAGTGCACGACAGCCATCTGCTTACTGATTAGCACACATGCAAACCATCCAAGACAGGTTTCACCTATTATTATCGTGAAGATTTCTTTCCTATCTGAATTTGTAGGGACATTTACATAGGATTCCTATTTATAGTCTTCTTACTGTTTCAAACACTTTTTACGAGTAAGTATCTTCATTTTGTGTAAATTATTGGCTGCTGGTGTCAGTGCACTCTATCTGTCTTATTCAGTCTCCCCCATTCCCAACTTTTCTATTTTGCTTTTTTACCTATAACTATTACTAGGACTTCAGTAGAACTTGAAGGCAAAGAATCATATCTCTATGTCTGTCTGTCTATCTGGATAGATAGGTGGATCTCTATTCTTGGGTAGATTATATGAGGCAGAGGATACAATAAATCAGAGTAAATCATTTGAGTAAATTAGAGCAGGAGATAAGTTTTTGAACTTTGAGGAACAGACTGAAAGTAAGAGAGATATTTGTAGGTAAATCTATAGAGAGCTGTCTCAGCACTCACAAATACAGAATGTTGTCTTCATCTAGAAATGGGTGAGCTATATTTTTTGTCTGCCACAGATAGATACTCTGAGTTTTATACTATTTAAGATAGTATTTCAAGATGGATGTGTAGAGAAGAGAAAAAGAGGTCCCTGGGTTGGGAGAATGGAATAAACAAAAACATGGCACACAAAAGGGAAAGTATGGCTCTATTTAGACAAGAGCAATGAGAGAGTTAAATGTATAAAGGTGAATAAGGAAGGTTAAGGATAGACAGATCGATGCCATTAATGGAAGGTCTAGTTACTAGACTCTAGTATGTGCATTTAAATTTGGGGTTCATTTTGTAAATAATAGGGAATCATTTAAGCATTGTGGGCAAGAAATAAATATAGTCATAGCTATGTTTTCCAGGGAATTAATTCTACAGCAGTGGAAAATATCAGAGGGAATGTCAGAATTAGAGTTCAGAAGCAGAAGGAACCAAGACTTAGAGGATGGTACTGCTCAGTGGATGGTAAATAACTTAGGGGTAGATATAGATCATGAAAGGAAATGCAGACCAAAATATGAGCAAAGAGAAGAGGCCCATATTAGTTGGGGTAGACTGAGTGGAATAAATGAATTACTCACATATAATGGGTAAATACAGAAGTGTAGCAGACCAGACTGTTCCTAGTAGGTTGGGTAGGGGGTTGGCCCCGTTCCATAGTTATTCAATGACCCAGAGAGACTTTTGCTCTTACATCTTCCTCAGAAGGCTTCTAAAGTCACCCCAGAAGTTGACTTTCCAGGTATTCAGTATGGGAGAAGAGCACGAAGGAACACATGTGGGAGATTTTAATGGACCAAGTCTAAAAACAGTCCTCACCACTCCTGCACGTGTTCCATTCATTAGATCGTGGTCACATTGTAAGGAAGCTGGGTAATAAGGTCTACTTGTGTGTTCAGGAAGAAAAGAAAAATGATGTTGGTGAATGGCTAGCAGTCTAGGCTATAAAGACCTAGGAGAGAAGCTAAACTTCTAAATGTATATAGATTTTTCTTCCATTAGGATTATTTTCATAAGGTACATTTCCAAAAGTGAGATTACTAGGTACATTTGTGAATGTTTTAATTTATTATATTGCTTCTTTAAATGCCCGTGTGTGGTTGTTTCCTTTTTCTTGTCCCCAGGATCTACCTTGTTAACTTTGAGCTTACTCACCTTCTTCTCTGGTGACTGTACAAGGGCAGAGAAGTACCAAGTGTAATAGATCAGTCATTGACATGTTCTACAATCTATTGTCTCAGGCTTGAAGAGGTGGGGTGGGGTTTACTGGATTATGGTTTCAGACTCTACTGCAGAGTCACCTCCAGAACTTTGAAAACTCCTGATGCCCAGGTTTCACCTCAGAGTAGTTAAAATAAACTCTTTGGGAACAGTGCCTGAGTAATCTTAAAAACTCCCCAGGTCATTTAATGAGCAGTCAAATTTGAGGACCAGTGTGTTAGAACCACTGTGGCAGGAAGCCTCCACCTTTTTCTTTCCCTCTTCCCTCACAAAGATTGGTATTTCTAATCAGACCCTCCACCCCCCAAGAATGAGGTCAGCTAATCAGTCCTCCTGTGTCTGAATCTGGTCAGACTTATCAGCCAGGTGGGATGCAGTGTACCTGGGTTGGTACTTCCAGTGGTTTTTGACCATTTCCCTACTGTGATTTATATTTCAGTTTTTAAAAGAGTTGGCAGGATTTTTGCTGTGTTAAGGATTCCCTAGTATTTGCTGCTGTAATTATGTGTTTTATTTCCATGTTCTCTAGTAGTTTACTCTGTGGATTAGCCCACTAACTCAGTGATGTGGAATAAAAGTTTATTGGCTGAATAAAGAGTAAAGGGATGAAAAATGTATTTTATTCTATAAATGGTTAGACTTTCAAGTTGGATGATAAATTCCCATTAGTTAGAATATTTTAGGTTGTGGAGACCTAGTAAAGAAATGCCTTTTTATTTATTTACTTATTTTTACAGATATTATTCCCATCCATCACTATGTGAAAACTTTGAGTCCAAACCTATAGCTGTTCTCTGTTTGCCACTGGAAGTATTTGAGTAGTTCCAGAAGCAGAGAAATCTTTTAATTTGAAAAATTTAGAAATAATTGGGTGATGACCCTACTGAACTGGCACAATGTTTGAATTAATAGAAATGTATTAGACCTTTGAGTACACAGTGACTTTCAACTTCAAACTGAGTTTCAGGAAACCTCTGGCTTAGAAATAGAATTTGCCCATTACTGGTATAGATGTGTTTTCAAACAGTCTTAACTTAAAGTGCTTTACTACTGCTATCCTCCTTCGTAGCTAATTTGCTCAGCAAAGGCAATTTTGAATAGAATTTATTTTAATTGTCATAGGATCTGCAGTGTTGGGTCTTACATTGAACAATTTGAGGGTTTTTCCTCATTTGTTCAATATATATTCCAAAGATTACCACATCCATGTGTAAAGCTTCTATAGACCTAATGTCTGCTTTAGTTACTGGCTCAAACTTTCCCCAAACTCCTTTTCCCGTTTCCAGAATTTTGTTAAGATCAACACCTGCAGTACTTTCAGGGGTAAGATGAAAAGTGTTTAAACAACTCGGGTTCCACTTTCTTGCATCCAAAATCAAAATTTGAGAGCTTCCCCTTTAAGCCTGAAAGAAGACTGAAATGTGGTGGTTCCTCCTTTCCTTCCAGGAGAACGCTGTGAACGGAGAGCACCTGTGGCTGGAGACCAACGTCTCGGGAGACCTGTGCTACCTGGGCGAGGAGAACTGCCAAGTCCGATTTGCAGTGAGTGTGCTCCTCAGACCTCTGGGCTCTGACCTCGCTGGGGGGCAGCTGCCAAATGGAGTCTGAAGATAGTGGGGTCACGGTGCTTGAATTTCCAAGGAGAGGCTTGAAAGAGCTTGTCCCTTGGTGACAGAGAGAGTGTATCAAGTTAAATTGGCTTCCAAAGAGTCAGTCTGAATGCTGTTAGGGCTTGACTCTGCATGCCACACCGTGGTTTTAATGTGCTACCTATGATGACACCCAGGGTTGGTTTTGGTTGGTGTGTTGGGTGGGAAGGAGGGAGGATGTGCGTGAAGGATTGTCTGCTTAGGTAGGTGTCTGTGTGGGTGACAGGTGTTTGTGTGGAGGAAGGGTCTCTGTGGGAGGGGTGATTCCTTTGCAGGGGAGTGTGTTTGCCAGGGGGCATGACTGGTGGGTGAAGGTGGGGATGGGCAGAAACACCTGTCTGGTGTGGGTATAGGCTAGCAAATAATTCAGACTAAGTTCTGGAGGGTAAAATTCTAGAAACCATATAAACAATCAACAGTCAACTACACTGGAATATCCTTTGCTTTTTAAAATTTACTTTGTGTCCCTGTTTAGAACAATCTGTTTAAATGTTAAATTCTCTATGTTCTGTGAAGAGAACATGGTTGCCAGGCAGTAAATTGTGAGGAACTAAAATTCTAGTGTTGAGAGAGTAAACTTAACATTTTTGTGTACTTAAAATTATGAGTCTGAAAACAGAGTAACCAGAAATTGGAATAGTAAAGAAGAAAGAAATGTTCCTTCTTGGGAAATGGGCACTGTAATTGAAATAATAATTTTTTTTTCTTGTTATGTTCGTTTATCATGTGAAAGAAAGATTTGGGGCAAAGTGGACCTTGGAATGACAAGTGAATGTTTCTATTAATAACTAATGAGGAAGGAATTGAGTTTCCATCAAAGCTTATAGAAGAGCATAGCCCCCAAGGAATTTTATCAGGCTGCTCTGGATCACAAAGCTGGGAACCAAGACCTTTAAAATTACATTAGCTGTTTCGATGCCTAGTTTATAGGTTTTCCTCGGAAAACTTCATGAGAGTTTTGGAGGGCCAGGGTTTGTTGAGTGAAGTTGGGATTAGGTAAATGTCTAAGAAGATTCAGCAGTACAGCCTCTCAATTTAAAGTCAGGAAATCTGGGTTTGGATCTCAGTGTTACCACTCATTGTGTGACATTGAGAACTTTTGATCTTTGGGCATTCTGTACCTTCTCGGTAGAAAAATGGAGTAAGATTAAGTTATTTTTAATTTTGCTTCCAATTCAGATATGTACTTAATTGTTTACATTTCTTGTAATCTGGTTGTACATTCCGTCGATTTAAATATCATTTCAACTTTATGCATATGTATTTTTAATGAAAGTGTAATTGCATGGAGTTTGATTAAATTAACCAAAACCAAGAGAAGCTCAGCTATTTGGACTAAAATCCTATAAATAATGAATTAACATTATTATCTTAGTTAATTACATAAACACTGGTTGTGATAACATCAAGTGGAAAAAACGAAAGCTAATCTTACTTGTGTATGTACTTCTGAACTATTATCTACTGCTATTGCTGCCAACTGATAGACTGTAATATGTTATGGAGTTCTGTCTGATTTTCACATTACTGCCTTTAATTCTTTCTTGTGCTCTTTTAGGGTCAGCCACATATTACCTCTCTTGGTAAATCTTGTATTGGTAGCTAGCATTGCTATCTACTGATTATAACTTGATCACTATTCCCTCTAGACCAGGGAAAACAACAAGAAAAATAAAAGATATTTTAGGTAGATGTAAGGAGTTAATAGAATTGTGAAAATTCCTAGTGTTCTGTTGAATCTTTCTCAAAATTTTCTTCCAAATCTTGGCTCTCTTAACTCACTTTACAAAGTGTCTTGACAATGAAGAGCTCTCATCTAAAAAATGTTGGTTAAGTGAAGGAATAAATCAGTGAAGAAGCTGAAGACCTAACTGTGTTTCCTCACTAGACGTTTCTAAAGGCTCAGTTTCTTCATCTATAAAGTGAGGAAAATGTTGTTTGGAGAATTAGTTGACATAATGCATTAAAAGGACTTATTTACCATAGTGACTGACATAATAAATTACAAGGGAAAAAAAGGACAGGAGCAGACAATCCACAAAAGAACTACCAAAGACAAATATATATATATGAAAAATATAAACAAAGGCACCCAAATTAAAACAACTACGAAGAGTCAACATCGTGTGCCTTAAATTAGTAAGGATTTGCGAAATAATAATACATACTGCTGGCTAGTTTAGGCCCAAATGGGTACTCTCATTGTTAGCTGGCAGGGGTGTGAACTGATATACCTCACAGTATGTAAGTAAAGCATTAAAAGCCTAGCTCTCTCGCCTGTTTGTGGCAGCACATTTTGAGAGGGACATTGACAAGCATGAGAAGATGCAGAGGAGTGTGTGCTTACGTGGGTTTGCAGTGGGGAACTTTGTAGAAGGAAGAGTTCAATACTCTGGGTTGAAGCAGAGTAGTACAGAGGGAAGGGAGAGAGCCTGGACCTCTTCCAGTGTTTGAAGAACTGCCAGGAAGAAAAGAGAAGTAGGTGTCTTGCTCTTTGTTGTTAGGAAGACAGTACTGACGCTAACAGTGGCCCTCATACTCTGGTAAAAGAAACGTCATCTGGGAAACCTGTTAACAGTGTAGGTTATTATTTCTCTCTCTGCTCCAAATGCTGATTCACTAGGCCTGGAGTTGGACTTGAAAATCTGTGATTTCAGCAAACACCTCAATTAATTACAGAGCATATGGTCCACAAAGTTAACTTTGAAAAATAGTGTATTAATAAGAAAGAACTTCAACAATGAGAGCTGCCCAGTAAGGGAACAAGGTGCCCAAAGAGATGGGCTCAAAGGGGGTGGAAGGGCATCTTGATATTGTGTGTGTGTGTGTGTGTTGGGGGGGGGGGTGGGTTACACATCTGCTTTGGGTAAGAGGTTAGACAAGAAGATCTCAAAGAGAGCCTCCAGTTTGAGTGTTTTATTTGCAGTTTTCTTAGAATTAAACAACATTTTTTTGTAAGAAAAATGAGAGCATTATATTCTCATTTCTTTTAATGAGCCACCTTTGAAGAATGCTGACCTGTGAGATAGGGACCAAATTACCACAGCCAGATACTACCTGCAATCTTCTAAGCGAAGCGCCGGCAGAGTGCTCAGAGGAGGAGTGAATCCACCACTGCAGAGCGCCTCACTCTCCTTTCCCTATTGCAGCAAAGCACATGTCACAGGAGAAGTTAAGAGAAGGCGGAAGTCAATGTGGGTTGAGTAGCTGCCTCTTTCTACTCAGAGGTGGCTTCATGGAAGCAGGGACTGAGTACAGTTTTGGAAAATGGGTAAGATTTACATAAGTGGAGTTGAGGAGGGAGAACATTTCAGGCAGGGAGGGGAACATGAGAGAACTCAGAGGCAGGAGACCACCATGAGACATGCGTGAGCCCCCACAGGGTGTATGTTAGGTAAGGATGGAAATAAGAACGGATGGGTGTGTGTGTGTGTGTGTGTGTGTGTGTGTGTGTGTGTACGCACGCACGCTTGGTTTTCTGAACCATAACTTGGAGTGCATGTTATAAATGCCTGTGCTTATGAAGCATGGCCTATAATATATTGTCTAAATCAAAACTACTTGCAGGTGAAAGTTACTGCTGCTATAACATCAAGGGTCACCTGCATCAGGGACACTGTCCCCCTAACTTATGAGGACGAGGACATTGCCATAGTCTATTTCAAACCAAAGCTGTCCTGCAAATCCATGACCTCCTGCTGCCTGGTTGATATTTGGGGGCTTTATGGAGGGCATTGAAGGCAAGGCAGCGACATGACAGGCCATGAAGACTGTTGAAGGAGAGTTTGCTCCAAAGCCTCGGGGCTGAACCCAATGACCTTTAACATCCTTCCTCTTTTATGTTTCTGTAGTGGCAACATTTAATACAGTAGAATGTCTGTGAGCAGTTATTTAATGGGATTAAAGTTATTTTCAGATTAGTGACAGTACCCAAATTAGTAACTGTTTCTTTTTCTGATCTAGAAAGGAGGAAGGGATGCAAAAAATAATGAAATTGGAACAGAAGGATCACCGTTTCCCAACATATCTATGGAGGGAAATTTAAATAAAATTCCAACTGAGGCAACTCCTGTTTGGTGATTTTATTTGGATGGACATTTGTTCATTCATTTGTTCTATTTAAGTGTTATAGCCTGAGTACCCATTATCAGGAACTTCAGTGTTGAGAGTGACAGTGAATTGTAAGCAACATCCTCACAGTTTCGTGGGTAGAAATCATTCTCATGCTTGTTGATAAGATATACAAAGATGTTCATCCAATATTCCCAAAGAAACTCACGCCTCCCGAATAATCCCCAGAGCACATAACCAGCGCACAACTATTTTCACACTGAAGATACTTGCTTACACCATATGAGGATATGCACTACCTTAGTCAGACCTACCTGGATGCATGTAGACACAGACGGGCGACCTGTAGTAGCAAGGAAGCGGATTTTGTGTGGGACTGACCTGGGTTTGAATCCTGCTGTTCCATCTATATACTGAGTGAACCTTGGACACATTGTTTCACCTTTCTTGCCTCCATTTCTAATTTAAAGTATTGTTAAGATCGACCTCAGTGGTTCTTATTTCTGGATGAGCATTGCAGTCACTTGAGAAACTTGATTTTTAAAAGGGTTGGTTCTCAGCCTGGAGCTACCACATCAGACTGTCTGGTGAGTGGCACTGGGCATGAATGTGTGGAAAGAAACAAACTGTACAGACGATTCTGTGTGCTCTCACACGGGTGGGTAGAGAGCCTCTGGTCTTCATAAAGAGAGTGTCAGGACCAAAGCAGGTGGCCTGGTCCTCGCACCTGCTGTGGTAACTGATATAGGTTGTGTTGTGTAATCCAAAAACATATGCTATAGTCCTAACCCCAGGTACCTCGGAATGTGACCCTATTTAAAG